ATCTTCTGAGCAGTGGGTGAAGTCCTCAAGAGCGCCAGCACGGACTGGTGGGGGAGGGATTCTGTGAGAAGCTCAGCTCTTCAGGGAGTTGAGAGCAGTCTCGGGAAGCGACAGCAGCAAAGAGAAGGTAGGTGAGTGTTCATCCACAGACGTCACTCTGAAGACACGTCCAGCGTCTAGGTGTGGCAGTGAGGAACAAGAAGGACACTGGCCCACTTACTGCCCCAGGGGCTCCCGAGGCAGGAGAGGAAGAGCAGCCTCCACTTGGGGGTCTGCTGGAGAGGCGGCATCCTCACAAGGTGGCCATGTTTTCATCAAGGCGAGACATGAAGAGAATTCTCTGAGAAAAGGCCGAGCCTGGATGGGTTTACCTGAGGGCATAGGGGCAGAGTTTGGGAGAGAAAGGGGAGGTGAGAGGTCAGCTCAGATCATTAGTTCTTGGCTGTAGCTGAACTGTGGGTGGTAGTGGTACAAGTGTGTTAATCAGCAAACTTCAGGATCTCCCCCGAGGGCCACAGGTTCGGGGTCTCTGTGGTGTGGAGGTTGGCATATTAGCAAGCACCTAGGATGACTGATGTGCAGCTGGGTAGGGAATCCCCTGCACTAGCTGCTAATTGGCATCTCTTCCAGCTATAAAACTGCAAGAAGGATGAGCCTTTGGATCAGGGCCCTAGCACTGAACCATAAGGAAGAAATGGATTCAGTGAGCATTTCACAGGCTGACTCAAGGTGAGAATATGAGAGAGGCGGAGCTGGTGCAAGGGGATTGGAAACATTTTTAAGCCCTACGTTAGGACTCTTTTGTGATGCTAAACCATGAGTTTGTTTCCATATGGCTTAAGTGAAAGGAAATATATTGGCTTAAGAATCGAACTGTCTCCAGTTATGGTCAGGTGTGCCTGTATCCAGGGGTTCAAGTAAGGCCAGCAGATGGGTGCCCCCTCCCCACCTTTTGGCTCTGCTTTCTGCTGTGTTGACTCCCATTCAGATTCTACCAGTGTGGGGGCCAAGATGGGCACCATCAGTTCCAGCCATAGCTGGAAGTTCCTCAAAATCCTGGACAGCAAATGTCTACTCCAGCCCCCTTTTATAAAGTATAAGTAAGAACAGAGTTAGCTGTCCATTAGAACAGTGTTCCAGGTCCCTGTCACCCATTCCTGGCCCAAACTTTGTCATCCAAGGGGTTAAGGAGTTTTAGGTTCGTAGACTGGACTTGCCTTGATCCTCAGAGTCTCAAGTGTCATCTGAGACGTGCTGAGGGCGCCATTGGTAGGAGTTGTTGAAAGGCACACCATTTCAGTGCCCTTAAACTTGACTAGTCATTGTGATCACGTGACACAAATGCTTACTACCTGAAGCCTGAGATTTTTAATGTAATGTGAGAGGCAAGAGAGTGGGGGCAGCAAAGGTCTCATTAAATCCCAACCACTGATACTTGAACCGCCACCAGGAGAGGCCTTTATTTTTCTTTTTTAATACCTGTCACCGGACACTGAGAAAGATTGCAGTCCTCAGTCCCTGCTTTTTATACTGCACGGTCCCCAACCAGGGAAGTCTGGAGAGTAGCCTGTATGCTGCAGAGGAGCGCAAGCAGTTTTTAATTAAAAAACAGAAAATTTAGGGATGCCTGAGTGGCTCAGTCGGTTGAGCATCTAACTCTTGATATTGGCTCAGATCATCATGAGATCGAACCCCATGTCAGGCTCTACACTGACAGTCTGGAGCCTGCTTGACATTCTCTTTCTCTCTCTCTCTCTACCCCTCCCCTGCTCTTGTTTTATCTCTCTCTCTCTCAAAATGAGTAAGTAAACTTAAAATATATATATAAAAATCCCCAGAGATAACCACTATCCTGCATTTGTTATTTATCGACCTCGTGTATGTTTACTATTACTACATAAGTCCGTGAACAACATAAATTGCTATTTTCCTTGTTTTTAAGCTTCATCTGAGGTATTATTCTTTTGTTAGTTGCTTTTTTCCTCTTTGATCTTACGTTGATATGTGACTTTCTGATTGGTTCATTTCCACTGCTATGTAGTATTCCTTTTAAACATATTACATATATTCATGATTCTCCTATGCATGGCCAGCAATGTTATTTTTAGTTCTTCACTATTATAAACAGGGCTGCTGTGAACATTGTTGATGGGTCTTGTATAAATATGCGAGAATTTCTTTAGGTTATATATGTAGGTATAGCACTAGAGGGCTGGAGGGTGTATGTGCCTCTTCATTCCTCCTAGATGTTCCCAAATGGCTGTCCAAAATGTTTGGGTCAACTTATACTGCCCCTGGCTATTTCTGAGCTGTCTCCCACCCTCATATCCACCCTCAAGCTTGGGTGATCCAGCATTTATTTTATTCCTTAATTTTTGCCAATCTGAAAATCAAATGGAATCCCTATACTGTTTAAATTTGTATTTCCCTGATTACTGATGTTAATTACTTTGGTTCATGTAGACACCCAATATGTAAAGCTAAACTGGACACAGTTGTTTGAAATGGGGCAGCACTTCATATTTAAGGTAGCTATGCTGTTGCATTGACCGTTTTCGTACCTTTGGATGATACCTGTGTTCCTAAATATTGAGCATGATTTCAAGCAGATGAGTTTGCATTAAATCTCTTTGGTAGCATGTTTTGGCCAATCTTTTGCATGATTTGTAATTGATTGTGATGTTAGCATTATCTGCGCCACAGCCTTCCCATCCTTTCACATAAGTTAATTGGGGGCTGGCTTTAATAGTGGGTATGAAAACCCACCCACAGAGCTGAGGAAGGGAAGACATCTGGGTCCTTATGGCAGGGGTCCTTGAATTTCCCAGGCATTTTCCTGATTTAGTACCTTTGCTCTCACTGTCTCCTCTGCTTAGAATGCTTCTCACCCAGAAATGCACATGACTCACTTCCTCACCTCCTTCAGGTTGTCATCAGATTTCACCATCTTAGTGAGGACATTCCCAACTTTGCACTGCATAAAAATATCTACCAGCCCATCAGCCACCCCTGTATCCTTCCCTGTTCAAGGGTATACCTCCTTCATAGCCCTATCACCAGATAACTTTCAATGTAAACTCTTCAGTTCCTATTTGCTTTGATTGCTACTTCCTTCTTTGTGTTTCCCTTACCACCCTGACAGTGTAATTTCTGCAAGAGCAGGCATCTTGGTCTGTTTTGTTCACTGCTGTCTTCCTGGTACCTAAAACAGTGCCTGGCACATAGTAGGTCCTCAGTATAGACTTGTTGGTTAATAAATGGTGTGAAGCTAGCAAGAAAAAGAGCAGAGGAGAGAATATCTGAGACACACACACACACACACACATACACACACACAGAAAAAGAAAAAGAAAAAGAAAAAGAAAAAGAGACAGAGAGAATACATGTGCCAAGACCTGGAGACAACCCAGCAGTCTGCTGACCAGAAATAAAAATGGATGGAAAGTATGAATATGTGACTGTGGCTACAGTTATGAATGGCTGTCCACTGAGGCTGGGGGTGCTGGAGGCAGTTGCTAGAGATACAAATAGGAGCCACGATCATCAGTTTGGACCCAATCTTGAGGGCAGTCAGGAGCCCTTACCTTATTTTAATCAAAAGAATAATGCAATCCTAATTGAGTTTTAGAAGAACATCACTCTGGTGCCAGCAAGAAGAAATCAGAAGGTGGGAGTTAAGGATAAGACTGGCGGCAGGTGGACCATCGAGGGAGCTGTCAGAGTGATCGAAGTGGGAGAAGATGGTGGCCTCGTCAGGTCACAGCAGGAGGACGAAGAGAAGAGGGCAACATTGGGAGATGCTTAGGACATCTCAGGTGTCTTCCTTTGATCCCTGAAGTCAGTGGAATCTGAGTATCTCTGGGCATCTGAGCTTAGTTGAGCCTCCACTAAGCATGCTCGTAAGTAACCAAATCAGAAAGCTCCACCCACGTCTTCACCTCTCCTCCTGATGAAAGAAATCTGGAGCAAGACCGCCATTATTCAACAGAGCAGTGGATAATGGAGCAGTGCACTGATTGGACTCGAAAGTTTTGGAAGGAAGGTAGCATTCCTCGTCCAAGTTTCCCTGGCCTCCAACTCTTTTGTGCAAGTAAATTAGTTTCATTTGTCTCAGGGTACCTTTTCCAGGCCAGCTCCTTCCAACTTGCCTGCAAATGTCTCTCAGTGGTGTGTTTGAGGGTTGGCTGCGTCTCCTTGTCTGGAACAAATCTTTTATTACAAGGAAATAGCTGGATGATGATTCTGGACTCTTGGACCCTATTCCCCTCTCAGCTGTTGACTCAGTATCTGATACCTTGGTAATTTTCAGCTCAACCTGTCTCCTCTCCTGCCTGTTTCTCATTAATATGACTTACATGCTGGAGGCTGAATTTCCAATCTACCACCTCAGCCATCTTGAGCGAGACGGTTAGGATTAACACCTGTTTCTTCCAGACTCTCTGAAGATGTCACGGAGGCGCATGTGTTCTTTTCTTTGCTCACCTCCCGGACTCGCATGATTTTCCTTGGGTGCGGTGGTCATGCATTCCACCGCAACCTAAAACCATCCAGATGATGGAAGTATCATGTTGCTCGTTTCACATGGGAAAGCCACGACCCACCCTCATTCTGTTCATGTTGCGTTCAAATCTAATTTGCGTGGCCTGTGTGAGTGTGAGCGCCACAACCCCTGTGTCAGCTGTTGAAGCTTAGCAATGCTATTTCCAAACATGGGCCATTCGGCAGCCAGCAGGCACTCGACAGCTGAGTGGGGCAGAAAAAGTCTCAGACACCTAAGGCAGGCCAAACAGTGACTCATCCTGCCATTGCCAGGATAAATATGGGAATAAATGGTATTTTTCTCTAAGCAGGAAGAATTGTCAAAATGCTTATCACTTTATAAAATATAACAGATTGTGCCTGTTCATGTTTTGAAATGTTCCAACGATTCACTAGCTGTTTTTTTTTTTTTTCTTTTAATGAGTTTAGTAATAGCTGTAACTTGTTTTTCTTCTTCCTAGGAGGCCTGGAGAACTCAGAAGTTTCCAGGCTGTGCTGCCTCGAGAGCTCTGGATCCACTTGGCTGTGGTGGCCTGTGGCAACCGGCTGGAGGAGACACTGGTCATGCTCAAATCAGCCGTACTCTTTAGCCACAGGAAGATGCAGTTCCACATCTTCACGGAAGACTCTCTGAAGCCCGAGTTTGATAAGCAGGTGAATGTGTGGAAATGGCGGCGTCATATTACTGAGGGCAGACACGGTGCATTTTGGGAAATGCATATCCTGGTTGCTAATGTATTTTTGCTGTGGGCTCAGCCGTGTGGCCATAAACTCCTCACTCGGAGCCTTACTGTTCTTATTTATAATGCAGGGATGGTTACACCTGCCTTACAGAGATACCATAAGGGTTCTTCGAGATGATGCCCTCGAAGCCCTTGACCCAGAGCTTGAGCCTCTGGTGTCATTAACACTATTCCCATTTGGGGGACAGGTAGCTTTTTCAAAAAAATCTACTTATATATGTGTTTTGAATGGTGAATAATAGATGTTCATTAAAATAAATTCAAATGATATAGATGTTATGAATTAAAAGGTAGGAGTCCTTTCTACCCTGAGTCTCACACAGGAAGCTATCAGAGTTACCAATTTTGAGTTATTCTTCCATGTTTTTTCATGTACAGATGTGTGGGTGTGTACCTGTGTGACTATATGTATATGTGTATACATGTGTATTTGTGTATATAAACATCTGCATGTTTGGGGAGCTATTCCTGCCTGTGGGTCCTGTCCCTGTGCTTTAATAAAATCACTTTTTGCACCAAAAAAAAATTAACTATCTACATGTTTAACACATACAATTGTATGGGCCTAGATTAAAGTGTATTTCTTTTACAAAATCAAGGTTATTCTCTATGCATTGTTCTGGAACTTGCTTCCCCTCCCTTAAAACCATATTGTCAGCATCATTCCAGGTCGCACATTCTTACCTCATCTTTTCTGGTGACTGCACAGTATCTTGTTATATATCTGGATCCTTTTTTATTTGACTCTTACTATACTGAGGAACAAGTAATGATTTTTACCCGTACACAAGGAGAGCTTTGCAACTACCTCTTCTCCTCAGTCTAGGTACGTGTGTGACTTTGCAGACCAAACTTTGCTTTGTCTCGGAAGTTTACCCTTGTGGTAAGTCCCCGAGTGCTGGTAGAGTGAGACCGTGTTTTGCTCTGTGTCTCCTGACTTGGGTCAGCAGGGCAGTCTCCTGTCACCAGGCTGGCCGCACTAATGAGAAATGCCAAAGAAGCATGTCGAGCAGAGAAAGGCTAATAACAGAAAGCTAGAAAATGTGTTATGTTTCCTAAAGAAAAATATCACCTTGACATCCTCACCAAGGGAAGCCGAAGAACAAATAGTCTCGAAGCTTTGAAATTGATTGGAAACTGCCTTGAAAAAGATCTGAGTCAAAGGAAAGTAAAGGGGATGGAACACACATGGTTTGCTGCTCTGAAGCTGTGGGGAAAGGAGACGATGATGGTCATTATCATTTATCAAGGGCTTCTGATGTGTGATGTACTCTTCTTTAACCCTTGAGAGAAGGTAGCACTCATGTCTCTGTTTGGCAAACAGATCATCGAGGCTTAGAGAGTGTTAGTGATTTGCTCATCAGGTGTCACTTCAAGGTCACAGACTTGAACCTCCATGAGCTTAACTCACTGTACCATACTCCATCTTGAACTAGTAGGCAGAAGACTCAAATGCAAGCCTCAGCTCCACTGTGCACCTGCTACTTGATCTCTGGCAAGTGTGGTGGCCTTTTAGAGCTTCAGCTCCCCTGTCTGTAACTTGAAGCTGGTAGCATTGATCAAAGAGCTAAGATTTCTGGAATCGGGATAGGCTAGGTCAGACTGCTGAAACACCTCCCGAAAAGCTCAGAAACTTACCCCGTGCCTGCTTACATGTCTCACACACACACTCAGGTCCAGGACCGAAGAAGACAAAGAAAGACTGTTCATGCTCTTTTTTATTTTTAAGTTTATTTATTTTTTTTAGTAATGTCTACACCCAACCTGGAGCTCAAATTCACAACCCTGAGATCAAGAGTCACATGTTCCTCTGACTGAGCCAGCAGGGCGCCCCAAGACTGTTCATGCTTTGAGTTGCACCTGCTAGAACACTTGGCCTCTGAAGTTCTTGGGATGCCACACAGAAGAGAAAGAGACAAGTGGTTCATGGCTATGCGTTTCACTCCCTCAACTTGACAGTGACGTGAGTCTTTTCTGCTCGCATGTAACTGTCCAGAAGCAGTCACGAGGTTCACCCAGTGGCAAGGGCCTGAGAAGTACTCAGTGTGCAGGAAGGCAGGAAAAACTGGCTCTGTGCATGAACTCTAGCGATGTCTTACACAACATCCACCGAACAAGTATTTATTGAGACCCACTGTGTGCTAGAAGCTGGGACGTGAGATGGAGCAGAACAAAAGAGACTTGAACTTAGAAGAGATGAGGGGAGGGGCGCCTGGGTGGCTTAGTCGGTTAAGCGTCTGACTTTCGCTTAGGTCATGATCTCGCAGTTCGTGGGTTCGGGCCCCGTGTCGGGCTCTGTGCTGACTTCCAGCTCAGAGCCTGGAGCCTGTTTCAGTCTGTGACTCCCTCTGTCTCTGACCCTCCCCTGCTCACGCTGTCTCTCTCTCTCTCTCTCCTAGAAATAAATAAAAATATTAAAAAAAAAAAAAAGAAGAGATGAGGGGAAGGAAGATGCGGTGTGTATAATTATGTATATGGGGCAGATCGTATTTTCCAGAGAAGCCCCCAGCGGCCCCACGTTGTGTTGTTTGCATCCTCACGTGCTTTCCTCCTTCACTGACCCAAGGTTGGCCTCTGTGACCAGCAGCATAGAGAGGCCGCAACGTGACATCAGTTCTGAGATTAGGTTTTAAAAGACACTGTGCTTTCTATCTTGGTCACATTCAGTCTCCTCTCGGGTCTCTTGCTGTGGAGTAAGCCACTTTCATGGCAGAGCAGCGCATGTAGGGATTGACATGATAAGGGATGAAAGCTTCTTGTAACACTCACATGAGTGAGCTTGGCGATAGAAGGTCCCGCCCCATCAAGCCTTCAGAGGACTGTTGCCCCAGTCAGAACTTGGACTGCACCCTCAGGAGAGACCCAAGCCAGACCAAAGCTGGGTGGCTTGCAGAGTTTTGACACTAAGAAACTACATGAGAGAATACGTTTTTGTGGTTTTGAGCTACTAAGTTTTGGGGATGAATCGTTATGAGGGAACAGCTAATGCTTATGCATCTACACATGTCGTACGCATGTATGTATAAAAGAGAGCACGCTAACTGTAATGTTCAGGTGAGGTTTGATGCTAGGGTGTGGAAAGGGTACAGCTGCTCCCTCGCTCTTTCTTGGCTTGGCTGCCCCAGGAAACTTGCCAGCACGTGGTGAGGAAGCCCACAGCAGCCCATATGGAGGGACCATGTGGGGACACCCACCCAGAGAGGAGCTGAGGTCTCCAGCCCACAGCTAGTCTCCACTGGCAGGCCCGCAAGGGGCCTGAATTTCAGAAGCTTTCAGTCTCTAGCTTTCAGAGATTCTAGCCGTGAAGCTAGAAGGGTAAGCCACCCCTCTGTGCCTCATCCGAATACCTGATCCGTGGAATCTGTGAGCATAATAGATGGCGGTTTTATACTAGTAAGTTTGGGGGTAATTTGCTCTAAGCCATAGTAATGGGCACATTATAAATTAGGAACTGAATTGCATGTGAGAATCACTGAGTCTGAAAAAGGATTTGAATTGCTCTGATGACTTTATCCCTTTGGTGGCTCATTTCCTCAGGTTTTTGTTAGACCAGCAAAGCTCAACTAACAAAGGAAATTGTACTCGGTGTTAAAAGACAGGCAGGGCATATGGCCTCATCCCAGTTTAGCTACAAAACGTCGTCTCTTCTGTAAGTTACAGAACTTCTCTCGGTCACAGTCTCTTCATCTGTATCAAAGGGCAAATGAATCTTACTGTTATTACGGAGCATACTTGTGAGGCTGACTCAGATCATCTATTTATTCTTTCATTCCACAGAGATCCTTGGGAACATCTGTAGGTTGGGAACTTTGTTTGCCCTGAAGTAGTAGATCAGCAGCGGTTAGCTTGTGCGAAGCCACAGGAGATGCTGGTGTGGAGGGGCAAGCGATGTGCCCCTTCTCAAAAGTGTCCCGTACAAAACAGAGGCATTGTGGGAATATCCAGTTTCTTGTGATGACTTCCCGTGAAGCTCAGGGCCATATGTTTTAGAGCAGAACACAAAACAAAGTGCCAGTTGACATCATGAGTCCTCTGGGAGATGTTTATGGGTGAATTCTACTAATTTTAAGTAGACTTCTTAAAAAATTTTGAGCTGTGTGAGTACAGTATACCTGGTGATGTTTACCAAGGAGTTTCCTTGGTTTTTGTCATCTCCCAATATAGAAGCTGAAAATGGCAGCTGGTTGATTTCCTTGCCTCTCCAGGTAGCTGGCGAATCAGACATGTGCCTTAGGTTTGGCTCATCTGTCAGGGAAAGTGGGACATGGAAGTGGGGATCACTACCGTTCCATTCCGGTGATAGGTGGGGCCAGTGGGATGGCAGCATCCTCTGTGTGTGTGTGTGTGTGTGTGTGTGCGAGTGTGTGTGTGTGTGTGATTCTGCCCCAGGATTAGGAGTCAGCAGGAACTTTCAATGGCTGGGGTTGGTATGCAATTCAGATACATGTGTTGAAACAAATGTAGAAAGACTGAACATTGCAGTTAAATGACATAGATTGGCAAAGGTAGATAAACCCATCTAGAAGGTAGGGTCCTAAAGATCAAGGAGTCAAGGAAACCAACAGACCACGGGACCTTTCCGTTCCCTTCCAGGGCTGATTCTGTGGTGCCATGACACCGTTCTACTGAGGATTTGTGCCTGGTGTCCATTCCGAGTGGTCAGTACTGTTGCACTGTTTGTGCCCCATGTCACTTCTGATGTGTCAATGCAGTTGTGCTGAGTGTTTGTGCCTTCTGTGGGTTCTGATTGGCCAGTGGCCTTCATAAATCAGTTATTAAGTCCTTTTTCGCTCTTCCTCTCATTCTGAGATTTCCCTCCCATATATCCATCTCAAAACTGCAAAGTTATTTATTTATTTTTAAAGTTTATTTATTTTGAGAGAGAGAGAGTATGTGTGCGTTTGTGCCAGCTAGGGAGGTGCAGAGAGAGAAGGAGAGAAAGAATCACAGGCAGACTCCAGGGAGCCCAGCATGGGGCTTGAACTCACGAACCTGATGACCTGAGCTGAAATCAGAAGTCAGACACCTAACCAACTGAGCCACCCAGGTGCCCCGCTTCAAACATTTTTATGTGACCATTGTATGTACCTTATTAAAAAATCATAAAATTATAAATGAAAAGAATCAACCATCCTATTCATGGTCAGGGAGGGCAATATTTGTGTATTTATTTAGATTCCTTTTCTTATAAACATCAGAAATGGGATTGAATCTTACATTCCCTTTTATATCACTGAATTTTACATTTTTGAATTTCTTCTAAAACTGGCATTAGCTGCTTTCTTATGTAAAAGACCAGACAGTAACTTTTTTAGGCTTTGCATGCTGTGTGGTCTCATAACTACTCAACTTTGATGTTCAATGTCAAAGCAGCCATAGAAATATGTAAATAATTAGGTGTGGCAGTGTTCCCATAAAACTTTTACTTATGGACACTGAAATTCAAATCTCATGTCATTTTCACATGTCACAGGATATTACGTTTGTTTTTTGTTTTTGTTTTTTAGCTATTTAAAAATGTCAAATCATTCTTGGCTCGTGTGCTTTGGATTTGGTTGGATTTGATCATTGTAGTACCAAAGGCTTGCCAACCCTCATTGTACAATGTTGTCATTAGTTGCTACATCATATTCGGTTCTGGAGACAAACCCCAGAGCTTATTTAACCAGATTGTTATTTAGGTTGTTTCCAACTTTTCACTGTTACAACATTATGATAAACAACCTTGTCATAAATATAAATGTACATTTGGAATTTTTCCATAGAAAATTCTTAGAAGTGAGGCACTTGGGTAGCTCAGCTGGTTCGGCGTCCGACTTTGGCTCAGGTCATGATCTCCGGTTTGTGGGTTCGAGCCCCATGTCAGGCTCTGTGCTGACTGCCAGCTCAGAGCCTGGAGCCTGTTTTGGATTCTGTGTCTCCTTCTCTCTCTACCCCTCTCCCGCTCATGCTCTGTCTCTCTCTGTCTCAAAAATAAATAAACTATTAAAAAATTTTTAAAAAAAAGAAAATTCTTAGAAATAGAACCATTGTGTCAGTGGGGAAGTAGATAAGCATACCAAAGGATGCTCAACATCGTATGTCCTTGGGGAGCTGCAGATGAAGACAGTGAGATACCGCTACATGCCTGTCAGACTGGCTAAAATCCACAACACCAAATGCTGTCGAGGATGTGCAGCAACAGAAAATCTCACTCATTGCTCATGGGAACACAAAACAGCACAGCCCCTTTGGAGAGCAGTTTGACAATTTCTTAGCTAGATGGAGACTGACCACACACTCCAGCAACGGCATTCTTTGGCATTTATCTATATGAACTGAAAAATTGTCCACCCAAAAACCTGCACATGAATGTTTAGAGTAGTGTTATTTGTAAATCACCCCAAACTGGAAGCGATCAATATATCTTTCTATGGATAAATGTAGAAACAAACCGTTGTATGTACAACGGAATGTTATTCAGTGCTAAAAAAACATACAATGGAATGTTATTCAGCGCTAAAAAATAAATAAGCTATCAATCCACAAAAAGACATGGAGAAACCTTAAATGCATACTACTCTGTATAAGAAGCCAATCTGAACACGCTATGTACTGTATGACTCCAACGATATCATGTTCTGGAAAAGGCAAAACTAAGAGACAGTAAAATAATAAGTGGTTGTTGGGGTGCCTGGGTGGCTCTGTCAGTTGGACGGCTGGCTCTTGATTCTGGCTCACGTCACCATCTCACGGTTTGTGAGTTTGAGCCCCGCATTGTACTCTAGGTTGGCAGCCTGGTGTCTCCTTGGAGTCCTGTCTCTCTCTCTCTCTGTCTCACCAAATAAACTTAAAAAAAAAAAAAATCAGTGGTTGTAGGAATTCAGTGGGAGGGAGGGGGAGGGGATTTTTAGGGTGCTGAAACTATTCTGCCGCAGTGGGTACCTGCCATCATGCATTTGTCCAAATCCCTAGAATGAGTGAACCCTAAGGTTAGCTATGGACTTTGCTTACTAACATATTGATGTTGGTCCATCATTTGGAACAAACATACCACAGTAATGTAAGATGTAGATAATAGAGGAAACTGGGGGTGGGGGTGGGGGTGGAGAGGGGAAGAAGAGAGGGTAGTTGGGAACTCTATGCTTCCCACTTAGTTTTTCTGTAAACATAAAACTGCATTGAAAACTAAAGCCTGTTAAGGAAATGATTTTATCATGAAATTAACATATGCAAAGAAACAATATATACTCACTGTAAAAGTTATGAAGAACACAGAAATAAACTTAGAAAATGAAACTACTACAACCACCTCCACAGGTGCCCACTTTTAACAATTTAGTGTCCATCTGTCCAGATTTTTGTCTCCATATAAAATATATGTGCATATAATTTCCCTTTAAGAAACACATTAAGAAATTTCTTGTGTATTTTGCTTTATCTAAAACCTGAGTATCTATCATAAATATTTCTTCCATGCCAGCGAATATAGATCTATTTTATTTTAACTGTTACAGTAGTCTATTGTATAGTTCTATCATAATTAATTTTCCCACTTATTGGTCATTTAGTTTGTTCACAAGGATTTTTTTTTTAATGTTTTATTTATTTCTGAGAGAGAGACAGTGTGAGCAGGGGAGGGTCAGAGAGAGAGGGAGACACAGAATCTGAAGCAGGCTCCAGGCTCTGAGCTAGCCGTCAGCACAGAGCCTGACGCGCGGCTCGAACCCATGAACCGTGTGATCATGACCTGAGCTGAAGTCGGACGCTTAACCGACTGAGCCACCCAGGTGCCCCAAGGATTTCTTTTTTATTACAAAGTAGGTTGTGTTGAAACTTTTGTGCCTTTATCTTTTGAGGTTGGTTACTGCCACTTTCCAAAGTGCCCTCTTGGAAATTTACTCAAATTTACACTCCTCTTACATTATTTATGTGTCAGCCTCCTAACACCCTTGCCAAGTTTGGATGTTATTTATTTATTTATTTTTATTTCTAGCCATGGTCTTTCATTCATTGAGCATTAACAGCAGCGGTGAAGTTAGATTTTCTATAAGCTGCCTGCATAGTGTTCACTTGAACATCCAGAAGCTTCAGATGTTTTCCATATCTCTGGGGCCTAATCACCCTCTTCTTGTATTCCTTGTTTTTTAGTTACGGCAGTGGCCTGACTCGTATACAAAGAAGTTTGAGCACCGAATCTACCCCATCACATTTTCGGTTGGAAACCCTCAGGAATGGAAGAAATTATTCAAACCGTGTGCTGCCCAGAGGCTCTTTCTTCCGGTAGGAACACGAGCTGTAAATAAGGTGCTGCTCAAGACAGAACTGCTCTTGCAAACATGGTGAAATTAACTGGTGTGTGTTGAGAGACATTTTCCTTAAAGCTGAACATGTGTTTCTTAGATTCATTCCATAGTTGAGTCTCTTACTCTTCAAGATATAGAGAAAGGGTTCCTGTGTTCAAGAAGTTGTCTTCCCGGGGGCACCTGGGTGGCTCAGTTAGTTGAGTGTCCAACTTTTGATATTGGTTCAGGTCATGAACTCACGGTTTGTGGGTTCAATCCCTACGTCAGGCTCTGTGCTTCCAGTGCAGAGTCTGCTTAGGATTCTCTCTCTCCTCGCTGTTTGCCTTTTTCTGCCTCTCTTTCTCTTTCTCTCTCTCCCTCAAAATAAATAAGTAAACTTTAAAAAAAGTGTCTTTCCAAAAGATTGAGGGACTAAGAGCATCCATCCTAAGCGTGTCTTGTATTATGAGTCTTTGTGACTTTGGTCCTACATTTACTACCTCTGTGAACTTCAGTAAACCCCCCACCTGATCCAGGCCTCATGTTTCTCCATTGGTTTGGCACATAGTTGGCCCTCAATAGATGTTTGCTTTGATTATTATTATTTCTCTTATAACAATAACTACTGCCAGTTGTAGCCATGCTAGGGAGTAATTCAGAAAAGGCCCAGAGTTCTGGTTCAGGCTTTCACTTTTGAATTTTTTAATTGAATGCTTTTGTTTCCTTTCTAAAAATTCTAAATAGAAAAATCACTGAAGCTACATCAAAAAAAATTTTAGTGTTTATTTTTTGAGAGAGAGACAGAGCATGAGTAGGGTAGGAACAGAGAGAGAGGGAGACACAGAATTCAAAGCAGGCTCGGAGCTGTCAGCACAGAAACCAAGGTGGGGCTCGAACTCATAAACCGTGATATCACGTTGAGCTGAAATCAGATGCTTAATCGACTGAGCTCCCAGACATCCCTCACTGAAGATACATCAAAACCTATGTCTATCATGGAGCAAAGATGGCACCTTTGACTCATGAATTGCAGTCTTGACATTGGTGAGATTTGTGCTTTCGGCAAACATTTACTTGGTGCCCGTTAAGTACTAGGCCCTGGGTTAGTGATGGCAGAACGGTAGTGAACGAGTTAGTGATAGCCTTGCTCCCTTGGAGTTTGAGCCTAGCAGGGCCCTGAACAGGTAACTGGAAGTATGATCTACAATGACATCTCATGGATATATGTGTAACCTGGGATTCCACACTAGTCAGAGAGAGGTCTTTGGGGCATTGCATTTATACTGAGGCATGAACACAGGAGAAGTGGGGATCACTGAGTGGAAAGGGCCTGGCTGGCAATGAGAGAGAAGAAGGCACCAAGCAGATGGAGCAGTATGTTCAAAGGCCCTGAGTTGGGAAGAAGCATGTTTGAGGTAATGACAGAAGGGAGAGGAACTGGAGCACAGAGCAAGATGGGATGAAGAGGTCAGTAGCGGTTGCATTGTCTGGTCTTTGCGTTATTAAGGACATTGAGAAGCCGTTGACTGATTTCTAGCCAGGAAGTGGCATGATCTGACTTGTATTTTAAAGTGGACACGCTAGTTCATTGCAGTGTGGCCAGTAGAATCACTAGGCCAGTTGCTGATGAGGTAGGCTATTGTGGGTGCCCTAAAGATGGATTCAGAACCTCCCCAAGAAGTAGTATTTATCAGTCCTCATGACTGGCTGCTATTAAGAGTTGAATTGGCCAAGTGAGGTGATAAAGATTTCACCCAGGTTTCTGACCTGAACAGATAATAAGGCTGATCTGTTTGAAATTGCCTATATTCAGCTATGCATGACCTTCCTGTGGCTCATCCTACTAAATGGATGGTGGTTCTTGGAGACATGGAAAAGACAAAAGGGTGATCAATTTTCATAGGAAGGAGATGAGTTTCGTTTGGGTCCTATTTTGACTTAAAAGTGTCTAGGAGCTGACCATGCCGAGAAATCTCATCATCCTTTGGCTTGAAATCCTAAATGACAAGTTGGTCCTTTTAGCATTTCTTACCCAGAACCCATGAGAAGAAAAAGGCCTAGCTGTGCTGTTGGTGCCTATCTGCGCACACTCACTCCCTACGTCATTTAATGGCCTGCTTGTCACATGCCACAGACCTTCCTGTGAGGTGGGATTAAGTGCATAAAAGTGTGGGTAAGGAAAGACTACCTCACACTGGATCTAAAATCTGTGCGGTGGTAATGTAATAACTGATTGCCATTTTAGAAGATGAGGAAAAAATGTCAGGTTTCTTTTTCCTTGTCTCTGTTTTAGGGGAGAAAATGTATTTGAAAGCCCAAGTTCCTGTTCGAAAATTGTCATCCAACCTATACAAAAAGTATAAGAAACCCAGTGGAACCACAGTTGAGTTTTCCCTGACCTTGAGTTGTGACTTTATTGCTACTATTAAAAAAACAAACCTACCCCATGATGGTTTTCATTCATTCCCAGCTAAGGAAGTATTCATTTTGAATGACAAATGAGTGTTGGTATTCCTTATCTGCTTTTGATAATGGAAACTAGCCCTCCTTAAAAATAATAAAGAGAGATTGTGGTTGACAGGACATTTACCTTCTCTAAGTCGCATATCATAACAGTAGATTATGGCATTTTGGGCCATCGGTAGAATGTACTGATCCTCAGGGTAATTTGAAATAAAATCTAGGTGACATTTTCCTTGAAATTCATCTCTGTAAAACCAAATCAGAGGCACTGCTGAGTCAGCAGAGTGAAGCTAGAGATCCCCAAATGCGAACATTCTAGCAAGTGGTAGGTCAGTCGATTGAGAACCACAATCTCCCTCATATTCTGAGGGGGTGTCATCTACCTCAAGCCTGTAGAAAGAAAACCCCTTCTCACATAAGATTTTACTATCAGAATAAGATCAGAGTACAGGTCTGCACCTCAAGCCTATTAGATTCTTAAGTATAATTAGTGGAATTCAGATACCACCAGTTCATGATTTATAAAGTTCCAGAAACCAGTGGACATTTAATTTTCTGTTTCTGTGAATAATGGTTCTAAGAGCAGGACCATTATTAGACAAAATAAACTCCAACTGACTTGTACTAGTAAGTTCTCTAAGATGCATACTGCTTTCAGGTAACTTAGAAGCTTAAAGTATTTAAAACAATCTGTCAATTACAAATAAATCAAATCTGTTCATTAAATTTTATCCTATAATAGTGCTTTTCCCTTTTTCTTTAGTGACATCCATAAAGCTTTCACTATTATAAAAATAATTGTCATGAATTCATATCACCTTTCTCCCATTTAATTGCAATTAGTGAGATTTTATAATGGCTCTATATATTTTGTTGCACACTCTGCCTCCTTGATTCCAAAAATCTATCTCCTCACTAATTATGATCTTCTGGGGATCCTAAAGATATTTAAAACATGACAGAGATCACTGAATTGCAGAACTTTCAGAGACTTTATTGGTGAATGGCATCCAATATGGAAATTTACATTAGCTCAAGGTGCTATGTAGTTCTCACTCAGGGAGAAAGGCCCTTTTTAACAAAGTGTTGATAAGTTCCAAGATTTCAGTACTGTCTGATGTCATTCTTGCTCCCAAAACTTGTCACAAACATCCATCTCAGAAGAAGAAGTTAGGGAAGACTGTTGTCATGAGAGAATAGAATAAAATTGCTTCCAGCCTTGACCTGTAAACTCTTCCTGAATTTTCTGGATATTTCCATAGGTCTAACAAACTTGACCATCCTTTATTATTTGGTATATCATGCCAAATAAATAGGAATCTTAGATTACCTAGATTTTCTACATCACATTGAGAGTAGCAATATATAATCTTCCCTTTTGTTAAAGGGAAGTTTCTTAAAAAGGTTTGTAACTGGTTCCAATATTTGGAAAACTGTGTACTTAACAAGAAATATTGTAATGAGTCAACTGCAAGCTAATGGACAAGAGAGCTTACCTGACTTATAAGAACTTACTGTAATTAAGGTCAGGCCTCTGTACTATTATTAATATTATAACTCAGCAGTAGCAGTTAACATTGAGGCTTCCTTGGAACTCGTGCTTTGGACGTCAACAAATATTGACAGATGTATGCGAACATATTAAAAATCCTTAGTAAGAGGAACATCTATTAGAATCACTACAAATGATGTCTCTATATTTCATTAAGCATTAAGAGGCTATAAATTATTAGGGTAAGATGAGCTATCAAAAATTCCCTTGAAAATGACCCTGGATACCAGTTTGGTTGAAGAAGCTTTCCATAGTCCTTATCATTTACTCACACACTATTAAAGGTTTGACATTCGGGATATTAGTTACAACTCTTGGTTACATGTGAAAAAACTCAACTTCCAACTAGCTAAGGAAAGAAGGAAATGTTTTGGCTTAACTGACCATGAAGTGCAGATGATCCCAAGCATAGGGCTGATCCAGGGGCTCCCATATGTCACCCAGGCTCTGAGTGCCTCTCCCTCTGTTCCTTCCAAGGCTCACTCCAGGAGCATAATGACTGCTTGAAGCAGCCTGAGATCCAAATTCTCAAAGCTTAGCTTAGCAGAAAAAAGAACAGAAAGCGTGGCTACTTGCAAAATGGTGGCAGAGGAACTCTGCAGAAATGTTCCCCAGAGAGGTAGGCATAACTGGTGAAGATTATTTTTAAAGCAACTATCTAGAATCTTTGGAGATTGTGTTAAGGGCCTAAGCAAATAAGGAAACAGATTATTCAAGAAAATCTATTAATGTAACCAAGTCCAAGCTTGTTTTGCTTGCTATACAACAAGTCCATAATCTAGAGGCAAGATGTTGGGGTAAGGAAAGTGATTTTGTTTGGAAAGCCAGCGAACCAAGGGGATGCAGACTATCTTCCTAAAGAACCATCTCCCCTTGGCAGGAAATTCAAGCTTCTTTTATATTGTTAGCAAAAGCGGGAGACTGAGAGAGGATTGGAGTCCATAGATGACTGATTTCTGTAGATATCTGAAGAGGGTTGTGTA